AGAGAGAGAGAGAGAGAGAGAGAGAGAGAGAGAGAAGAGAGAGAGAGAGAGACGGGGAGATAGAGTGGTGAAAGAGAGAAGAAAAAGAAAGCATGCGAGAGCGTAAGAGCGTCTGCGCGCCTGTTAAACACGCAGCGCCATCTACCGGCGCCGTCGGCAGACGCTCCCGCTAACCGCTCGTGCACGTTGCAGGTCGCGACTGGACAGTGGCTCCATCGAGTGGCAGCGAGTGGCGGGCAGCCTGGAGGAGCTGATAGATTGGGTGCGGCTGCGGCAGCTGACGCTCAACCACGAGAAACCTGTGAAGGGAGACGGGGAAGCCGTGGAACAGCAGGTAAGGAACCTCCTCCCCTTCTCCTCTATCCCAGCCTCCTCCCCCTCTCCTCTATCCCAGCCTCCTCCCCCTCTTCTCTATCCCAGCCTCCTCCCCCTCTTCTCTATCCCAGCCTCCTCCCCCTCTTCTCTATCCCAGCCTCCTCTCCTCTCTACCGTAGTCTCCTCCCCTTCTTCCCCCACTCCCCTCCTCTGTCTCGCTCCCTCCCTCAGTTCCCCATAATAACTTTAACCCCTTCCCCTTCATCTCTCTCTCGTCGTCTCCTCTCTCCCTCTCCATCTATAACCTTCCCTCTCGTCTCTCTCTCTCTCTCTCTCTCTCTCTCTCTCTCGATCTCTCTCTCTCCTCATCTCTCCCTCTCACGTTCGCACTTATGTCCCTCCTCCGTCCCGTCTCTTTCAGCGGGCGTCTCTCTCTTCCTCCCGCATCTTAACTTTAAACGCCTTCCCCTTCATCTCTCTCTCATCTTATCTTCTCTCTCTCTCTCCCCCCACTCAACTTTAAGCCTTTCCCTTTCCTCTTTCTCTCTCTCCTCTCTCTCCTCCCTCTCTCATCTTAACTAACCCCTCCCCTTCCTCTCCGCAGGTCACCACGCACAAGGCGATCATGCAAGTTGCTCGAAGAGAAGCGCCCCCTGGTGACGCAAACCCTCGCCACCGGGCGGCGCTGCGTCGACGACCTCGGCTCGTTCTCCCGTCGCCGCGGCGACGATGACGAGGAGGAGGGCGTGGCGGAGGGCGCGGCGGAGGAGGCGGGGGAGGAGGCGGCGCGGCGCGTCGGGGAGGAGCTGCGGACGCTGGAGGAGGAATGGCAGCGGCTGGATCGCGATGCGGACCACTGGCAGACGTACCTCGACGACGTTTACACGGTGAGAGCGCGCGGCGACGACCTCGTTATGACCCCGCGACGACCCCCGCGGTGACCCCGCAGTGACCCCTCTCCCTTTTTTGATCTTCCAACATAGCAGATGTGTACATGTGTACGTGCGTGCATATGTGTGCGTGCGTGCGTGCGTGCGTGCGTGAGTGAGTGTACATACATGTACTTCACCTCCCTCCCTCCCTCTCTCTCACACACAACACCACAGAAGCTGTGTATAATACATGTATACTTGTATGCGTCTGACCTCTTCNGGAAGAGAGAGAGAGAGAGGGAGGGAGAGAGAGAGGAGGGAGGGAGAGAGATAGGAGTGAGAGAGGAGCGGGAGAGAGAGAGAGGACGGAGGAGGGAGAGGAAGAAGGAAGCCGATGGTTACCTTGTGCGAGGGAGTCCTGCTCGGGAAGCTTCTGACGGAGCTGTCTCAGCCGATCATCCAGCGCCGCTTGCAGCGCCCTCCAGCGTTTGTTTAACTCATTAAGCTTCTCCGTAACCAGCTGTATGTAGAGACAGGACGGTTACACACGTTCACTTGTTACATCCGTTTATTTTATTGCCACGGTAACACGATTGCATGCATGTTGTTGTTCACTTGTCTGACTGTTGCCATGGCGGGCATTCATTCTAGTGCTCTTGTCACCTGTCTGTGGCACCACAACACCTGCTATCACAATTTCTGTGTCACCACAATGCTTGTGTCACCACAATGTGTGTCACCACAATGCTTGTGTCACCACAATGCTTGTTTCACTACAATGCTTGTGTCACTACAATGTGTGTCACCACAATGCTTGTGTCGCCACAATGCTTGTGTCACTACAATGTTTGTGTAATCACAATGTTTGTGTAACCACAATGCTTGTGTCACCACAATGCTTGTGTCACCACAATATTTGTGTCACTACAATGTTTGTGTAACCACAATGCTTGTGTCACCACAATGCGTGTGTCATCACAATGCTTGTGTCACCACAATGCTTGTGTCACCACAATGCTTGTTCCACCACAATGTTTGTGTCACCACAATGCTTGTGTCACCACAATGTTTGTGTCACCACAACACTTGCGACCACAATTTCAACCTCATAATTACCATCACAACGTTTGTGTTATCTCTCTTTCAAACCACAACACGTTTCAACCCTAATCAATGCGTCACCACAATCTGTGTGTCACCATTCTTTCTGCCAGCAAATTTCTGTGTCACCACCCTACACATCGTCCTTGCATCTCTGCATCCCTGCGCCTCTCTTCTTCACTCACAATCTACACTTAACGATACTTGTAATGAGAAATGCTAGTGAGTAAACTAACGTATATTACCAACGCCCTCTGTTGTAACTTGCATCAACGTACAAGTGAACATCCCTGCGCTCGTAACGACCGGAACAAGGAACATCAGCAAATGTGCGGTCATCCCCCCCCCCAGAATTAAGGGAGTCACGAATTACATATAATTCATCAACTTGACGTTAACATTTCTATGATGTTAAACATTGCTTCAGTAACAACTACAACAACAACAATAACAACAACAACAACAACAACAACAATAAATGCAACGAAAGAAGATCAACAACAAAAACAACGCCAAGCTCATTGCTTGGCGTTAATGTGTGTTGAGGCGCAGCGATGTTGATCGAGCGAAGTGTCACTGTCATGCATGTTCTCTTGTTTTGTCAAGGTCTGGAACGGTGTAGGAAGTGGTGTGAAGGTACCTGATGATGATGATGATAATGGTGATGATGATGATGACGACAATGGTAACAATGGTAACATTGATAACAACGATGGCATGTTTCTACGTTGCAGCGATACAAGAATCAGATTGCACCAATCAGGGAGGAGGTGGATGAAGTGAACGGGCAGGCGGCGGATCTTGCTCAGGATGGAGTCAGCCTTGATATCAAGGTCAGTAACCAGGGGAGGGGGGGCGGGACGAGGGGGGAGGGAGGGGAGGGAAGGGAAGGAGGGGGCCATCATCATCATCATCATCATCATCATC